TCCTACTGCAGACCAGAAAAAAAAACCTAATGCTGCCTGGTTTTGGACTGGATGAACCCACCACATTCAATTCACCCCTCCAGCTGGCTTTCCCTCATCGTACTGCTGCCTGGATATTGGTTCTTGGGCAGTCTGGTGTTGGATTGGCATAGGATCAGACAATGTAAGTCCTCACACATGTGGTTGATAGCATCCTTCCTCCTACCGTGGAAATGAAAGAAACATTTCCAGCATCATCTGGTTTTGGACTGGAGTTGATCCACCACATTGCATTCCCACTTCCTACTGTTACTCAGATGTCAGATTTCCGGGTGGCCTGGTATTGGTTGTGTACAGGGTATGCATACATGTGCCTGTCTGGAATGGTGGAAGGTGAAGATGGTTAGGACCCTCCTCCTACCAAAGATCTGAAGATAAATACTTGATTTTAGACTGGAGTTGACCCACTGAATACGATCTGTCATGTCCTAGCCACTCTATACCATTTAGCATGTCCAATTACAAATTGGACATGTGTCCTTTCCACACAGTTTAGCAACACATTATTACAACAGGTGAAAAATATACCTGGTACAGGTGGGGTGCAGTCTCCCATGAGTGTGACCCCATACATTAAGGTATCACACTCCATGGGTTCTCTTCGGGTGCCTTTCAAAGAGGGCTCATCAAGGTAACTTTTCTACTGGTCCAGCCACCATTTCAATGTGAGATTCTAGCTATTATGTGAGAGGAGATAAGATATTGTATCAGAAGTTAACATTTTTGTACACTAAAAAGGTATTTCTGATAGATACTTACCTCTTTTCACATTTCCCACCCATCCTCCCTACTTCTGGTTTGTCTTTTTTGCCTAATCTCAAAGCAATGATAGTGCTCTACAGTATAGAGGGAGTCAGCTGCACTAGGAGGGTATGTTGCACTTCTATTGGTGGAGGGTTATTTGCATGCTACACTGCAGCTATACCACATGTAAATACGTGAGGGTAGGTGGGAGCATCAAAGCTAGTAATGAGCAAAAATTTCACATAGAGGGCAGCATAAGTCATGAAAAGCTATTATGTGAGAGAAGGTAGATATCTATCAGAAATATATTTTCAGTGCAAGAAAATGTTAACTTTCACCCACCTACATGTGGGGATATTTAGTTCTCATTTTGTAATTGCATATTTATATTATTACCACACACACACACACATACAGTTTGATTTATGAAGAAAGACTTGCTAAATTACTTGTGAATTTGTTTCTTTTACTGAGATTTTATTTGGCCTGTCCTGTATTTAGTAAAGTTACTTTTAGTTAATGGGTGAATGCAGCTGTGAAAAAAAAGTCCTTCCATTCCAAAATTGTTCTACTACATTATGAAACGTGTACATTCTTTTTCATTGTAAGAGAAGATTTGTGTAACTAGCTCATAAAAGTTTCCAACATTTAAAGTAATAATCTTCATGTAGTGGGAGGGGAGCACAACCTTACCTTTTTTCAACAAATTATCTCTAATTTATTATAAGTTGTTTTGTATAAGTGTGTGTGTGGCCATTTTGTGCAATTCAATTTTAAGATTCTAACACCTTCCAGCCCAGCATATGCATAATGCAATGTATAGTAGCAATTACTTTTCAATAGTGCATGTTATATCTGTGGATTGACTTACAGGTAATATGGCAGTTGATGACATAAGCAAAAACAAGGGAGGTGCTATAAACATCATTACAAAGGTGTAGTAAAAACTACCAAGGGGTTTTACTAGTAAAACATCTTTGATGCTATACCGCACCTTGTATGGACTGCCGTGTAATCAATATTTCCCTCTTAATAATCCTGGATTGGTCTAAATAATGGAAAAACTTTGAAATTTAGCTGGTCTCGTTTTCAAGACCTGTAAGACATCAAGACCCAAATGGTCCAAGACTTCCTGAAGGGTGGTCTTGAGACCTACAACACTGGGTACCATACTGGGCATTATACCACCTTTCTTTACTCTTCATTGCAGAAATGGCATTTTTAAAATGAGAATCACTAGGGAAGACATCTTGTAATGTATCATGCATCCATTTCAACTTTAACACTGCATCTTTAGGCTTTACTGTGCCATTAGTTTCAGAACATATTGAAAATAATGATTTCTTATACGTGATTCCAATCCCCCTTCTTAAGGATAACAATACTACTGTGTCTAGTTCATAATGTTTTGCTGAGATATCTTCAAATAAGTTCTTCTCTACATTTAAACCATCACATTCAAAACCACATCTAGAACATTTCAAGCATGTTTCTTCGCTGCATTGTTTTATTTTACATTTTACAAGTTAATTTCTCCATATTGGCTTTCATGGTTTTGGATCAGGCCTCAGGTCTGGTCCAGCAACCTAGACTTCGAAAATAGTGCCAAACATCTTGTTTTCGTCTAATCCAACCAACCCAAACATTTCCATAATGACTCATATTTTTGGATCCACATCAAGATACCAGGCTGGCTTGTGTGGTAAATGTTAAAAAGAATTTACACACTTTTAAACACTAAGAAATTATGTGTAAAAAATGGATATTATACTTATATCACACAAAAGAAGTTGCCCTGTACTCCTATTTCATCTAAGTTACTTCCCATTCAAATGAATGTATGGTAATTCTTTGATATTACTCACACAATTTTTTGTTGTTTGTTTGTCTGTTTCTGTCACAAAATGGCTAAAATACATTTATGTTGCCTAGGTAGTGATGGTTGTTGGTGTTTGTGTACATATACATAATAATTGTGTTTTATTATTAGTTTAAGTTTTAAATCTCTTAGAGAGGAAATGGGTCACAGTTGCAGTTACAGTATGTGGTCAGATTGTTTTTTATTTGTATACCTGTAGCATATTTAAGTGAGATGTTAGTTTTCGGGTCCAAGAGGTTGATATGATTGAGAAAATAGATGGCATCATCTGTGATCAAGATATCTTAGAGGTTAATTATTCAACCATTTAATGTTTAGTCATCTATTTTTATTCTTCAGAATTCAAGCAGAAAGCAATCTCACCAATTTTGCTGTAGTTTATTATTTACTATGTTGGGAAAGTTTCTGTCTGTCAACAGTTGCACATTAAGTTTAAATATTACAGTCATTTGTGGTTGAAATGTTGCCAAAGGCTGTTGGTCATTTTTATGCATTAGATTTAGGTAGACCATGATCACACATAAGTTGGTAATTTTACTATCTTAGTCCTGCATTAAAAGATCAAGATGACCAAAAATCTCATGGTTAAACTGAGATTGGGGAAAGTATATTGTTTATTTGTTGTTAATTTTGCCTTGTATCCTAGCTTTGCATGAATGTTAAAGTGAGTTCCGATATTAATGTTACATCTAGTTTAGTGTTATTGTGAGGACATGGAATTTGCAGGCATACTGTGTTTTTTATGTGTGTATATACATTGAAACAGCACATTATGGACTTAGTGGTGTGCCTGCAATTTTGACTGTCAGATGCAAATTTCCATAAGTAGGTCTATGTTTTACAAAACAAGTATTTCTGGCTTGTATGTTTTAAGTAATAAGCATGAATACATTCATTTCACTTCTAAGTAATCAAATGACCACTAGCATGGAATTTTACTAGAGCCAAAAAGAGACTAAAGGTTTGTTTTATTACATGAAGTGCCAGCCACTCTGACCATATCCAGGTGCATGATTATTTTTACATATATTTGTGCTATTTTTAGGCTCATTACTGTATGTTTATGCACAAAAAACTTAATAAAAGATAAAAACATTTGTAGTGTGATTTATGTTACTGATGACCAATTAAATACACACAAAACTACTGTTGTAATATAAACCAAGAGAACCTCTGAACTTCTTCTTATGATGTTAATATTAGTGCACTAGTGAAGTTCCCACCTATGACATTCTAGTTTGAGCACAACTAATTTACATCCATAACGATTATTTAATATTCACTTTGGAAACTTAAAATGTTGTAGAATTGTGACAATCAATTGTTTAATGTGAAAGTAACTAGACAGTCAATGCTTATACAATCCTATTTCATCACTTAAATATTGTTCATCATTAATAAAACTTTTCAATATGAAAAAATCAAAGTGTCAAGAGTGTCCTTCAAAATCTCCACTGTGTCCCCTTAATTTGATGCAAAGGGACGTGGGTCCTTTAAGATCTCAAACCTAGGAACATCACTGTAATTTAAACTAATTTTTTGTTATTTTTGACAAATTATTAACCATTTTTGAAATTAACAGATCAAGTAACAGAGATATTGATGTTTTTTATTGTGCGTAAGTAGTTAAGACTCAGTGGTCAGTTACTTTTTTTCTGTTCATGATTCAACTGCCAAATATGGGTAAATAACATACCATAAGTTGAAATCATCAATGAGGTTGAGTTGACTGACCATTTCTTCTTATATAACACAAAAACATCTACTGTAGTCAGTGAAGGATTACAGTTGTTTTTATTGCTTCATTTTGCCACACTTATTAAATTGATATTTCAGAAAATGTCTCATACTTACTGTTATAAAGCATGCATGTTTTAATTACTGAAGTGTGTACAAGTATCTTTTTCTCTCTTAAACACTTTCCAATTTAGTTTTAGCTTTCTTGTAAAATATTTAATAATCGGAGCTGTTGCTTACACCTGTAAAAGTAATTTCTGAAATTTTGATACTTTTATAGGAAAATTAAAACTATTTCTAACTATGGGTAAAAAAACATATTCTCAACTTATGATTTTTCTGGTACAGCTTTTATTGCAAATTTTCAGTGGTTTTTTGTCAATTGTAAAATTAACTGGTGCCACAGCTATTTTATACAAAATTTTCAATGCAGAGTTTATATTACTCTGTAATAGTAACAAGTAGATGAACAAGACAGTTTAATCTTGAAAAGAATGAATATAATACACTGGAAATTGTGAAGCTCTTTCATTTTGACATATATTAAAAGATAACTTGAAACAATCTTCTATGGTAATCATGTACACATGGTAATTTTCAGGCCATTCAGCCTTTGTTGGTATAGGATTTGCAGATCGAGGTGATTCATTTGACTTAAATGTGGCTCTTCAGGATCATTTCAAGTAAGTCATTATATATTAAGTTAGTGCAACTATGTTTCATCAAGGATTTACATTTGTTTTCATGGTATAAATGAAATAGGCAAGGCTTCTGATTTGTACTATAAAGTGGGGTGACAAATTTTAGTTGAGTTTGAATTAAGGGGAAGGTGTACAGGGATCACTAATCAATATTGTGCATTGTTTTTACTAGAAAAATGATATAATTATTAACATGTCAAGAAACAATTTAATATATGTAGCTAGATGAATAGTAGGGTCTCTTTCTTTTTCAAGCTGTTGATGATACAACAAGTAAATCTTCTATTATCTGAAATAATGGGAGACTCAGAAATAAGTGTTTTTATGCATTCTTGTGTATTGTTTTCTATAACAGAAATAGCCTATTAGGATTCCAGTTTTTTTGACATTGAACTT